ACCAAACATTAAAAGGAGAATTATACTAAACCTTCCCGAATTTTTCCGAACACATTTTATGAGGCCAGCATTACCTTGATGGACATAGAGGCAAAAATCCTCAACAAAATATTAGCAAACTGAATTCAACAATACACTAAAAGGGTCGTATGCCATGATCGACTAGGATTTACTCTAGGGATACAGAATGGTTCAATGTCCACAAGTAAGTCAATGTGATACACCACATTAAGAAAAAGAAGAATAAAAAAATCATATGATCATCTTGACAGATGCAAAAAAAAGGCAGCTGACAAAATTTGACATCCATTTATGATGAAAAAAAACCTCTCAACAAGGCAGGTATAGAGGGACTGTACCTCAACATAATGAAAGTCATATATGATAAGCCCACAGCTAACATCATACTCAATACTTTTAGCTTTTCACAACTGAGAATGAGGAACAAGACAAAGATGTTTACTTTCACCACGTATATTCATTCAACATAGTATTGGAAGTTCTAGCCACAGCAATCAGTCAAGAAAAAAAATGGCACCCAAATTGGCATGCAAGAAGTGGAACTGTCATTGTTTGCTGATGGTATGATACACAGAGAGAACCCTAAAGACTCTACCAAAAAAACTATTAGAACTGATGAATGAATTGAGTAAAGTAACAAGGTACAAAATTAATGATCAGAGATCAGTTGCATTTTTACACACTAATAGAGAACTGTCAGAGAGAGAAATTGAGAAAACAACCCCATTTACAATTTCATCAAAAACATAAAATACCTAGGAATACATTTAACCAAGGAGGTAAAAGACCTATAACTTGGAAAACTATAGGATGTTGCAGATAGAAATTGAAGAAGATACAGATAAGTAGAGTGATGTACCATGCCCATAATTAGCACTGCTGAAGCATCCGTGCTGCCCAGGGCAATCTACAGGTCCAGTGCAATCCCTGTTCAGACACCAACAACATTTTTCATGGAACTAAAACAACCCCAGGTTTCTAGGGAGCCCCAGAAGTCCCTGAACAGCTGTAGCAATCTTGGGAGGAAAGAACAGAGTTGGAGGTGTCACTCTGCCTGATGTCAAACTGTACTGCAGGGCTGCAGTGGTTGGGGCAGCACAGTACAGGCATGTAGACAGACACACGGATCAAGAGGACAGAATAGAGAACTCAGAAATGAACCTACACATGTACGGTTAATCTATGATAGAGCAGGCAGAAATATACAGTGGGGTAAAGACAGTCTCTTCAATAAATGCTGTCAGGAAAACTGGACGGACAAACGCAGAGGAGTAAAGCTGGATCACTTCCTTGCACCATATACATGAGTAAAGTCAAGACGGATTAAAGACTTGCATGTAGGATCCCCGGCAATAAAACTCCTGGAAGAAAACACGGGCAGGGGAGTCTTTGATGTTGCTCTCAGTAATATTTTTTTGGATGTGTCTCCTCAGGCAAGGGGAAAAAGGAAACAAATGTAACTATATCAAACTAAAAACCTTTGCACAGTCCTGGCCAGGTGGCTCAGTGGGTTGGAGCACCATCCCATACAACAAAAAGGTTGAGGGTTCAGCCCCCACCCAGTACGGGCATGAATGAGAGAAACCAATCAATGTTTCTCTCCCACACCTACGGTTCTCTTTCTTACGGTTCTCTTTCTCCTTCTCTCTCCTTCCCTTCCTTTCTCTAAAATCAATTTTTAAAATGTATCCTCAAGTGAGGACTTAAAAATAAAATTCTTTACAAAGAAATTTTTTGTACAGCAAAAGAAATAATAAAACAAAAAGACTGAGTGAGAAAAGATATTCGCCAATAATGTATCTGATATGGGGTTAATATCCAAAACATATAAAGAACTGATACAATTAACACCCCAAAACAAACCGTCCTATTGCAGCAGGGGCAGAAGGACCTGGATGGACATTTTCCCAGAGAAGACGAGCAGATGGTCATGTGACACATGAACATATGCTCAACATCGTTGGTCATCAGGGAGGTGCAAGTCAAAACCAAGGTGGGATGTCACTGCACACCTGCAGAGTGGCCATCGTCAGTAAATAACAGACAACAAGTGTCGGTGAGGATGTAGGGGGGAGCCCTCTGACGCTGCTGGTGGGATTGTGACTTGGTGTGGCCACCATGGAGAACAGTATGGAGGTTCCCCAAATAGGAGTTCCTCACTCTATGGAGTTGAAAATAGAACTACCATATGACAAAGCACTTCTGGGCACTTATCTGAAGAAACACTAAACACTAATTCAAAAAGACATATGCCCCACTATGTTCACCGTAGCACCATTTGCAAAGGCCAAGGCATGGGAACAACTTGGATATCCAGTTACTTGGATGCAACACCTACATACAGTGAAATATCGCTCAGCCGTAAAAAAAGAATGAAATCTTGACATTTGCAACAACATGGATGGACCTAGAGGGTATTATGCTAAGTGAAATGGGTCAGAGAAAATCAAATGCTATATGACTTCACTTCTACATGGAATTTAAAGAACAAAATATACAAACGGAAACAAACTCACAGACACAGAGAATATTTTTTGATGGTTGCCAGAAGGAAGGGGCTTGGGAGATCAGGTCAGGAAGGGGAAGGGGCTGAGATGTCAAGTCGCCAGTCATGGGGCTGTGAAGCACAGCATGGGGGGTACTGTCAGGAGTGCTGTGATGGCCGTGTGTAGTGTCAGATGCACGCAAGACGTGCCAATGTTATCATTCAAAAGTCATGTATCTGTCTGGTCGCTATGCTGTTTACCTGAAACTGGTGTGATATTGTATTTCAGCTGTCGTCAGAAATTATATATGTGAAATTGTGGTACATATATGGGGGGGAGTAGGTTAATAGTAATAATAAATAATTAACAAATAAATAATAATATAAGAATAAACTCTGTGGCTTAGTTGGTTGGGCATCGTTCTACAAAGCAAAGGGTCACCAGTTCAATTACCGGTCAGGGCACATGCCTGGGGTGTGGTTTGGTCTCCTGGCCAGGGAGCATTCAGGAGGCAACCGAGGGATGTTTCTCTAACATCGATGTTTTCTCCCTCCCTTCTACTCACTCTAAAAATAAGTAAAATTAAAAAAAATTAAGCTGTGTTTCGTGTGCTCACAACTGTAAACCTACGTCTGCCCATTCTGTACACAATGGGATATTATTCAGCCCTGAAAGAAATCCTGCCATTCATCACAACGTGGAAGGTCCTCAATTAAAAGTCAATCAAACAGAGAAAAGCAAATACTATGTGATTTTTTTCCTTACATGTGAATTTTTTTAAAAGTTCAAAGATACAGAGAATAAATCGGTACTTGCAAGAGGTTGGGGTGGGGTGGGATATGGGTGAACTATTTTTTTAGCTTAAACGAATTGAATTTAAAAATTTTAATAGCTAAATTCATGGTAGAAAACTTGGGAATGAAGATTAAAAGGTTTACAGTAAAACTTTATTTCAGCTTTACTGAGTAAACTTTCCCTTTTTAGAGTTAATTTTTATTGCATAATGTTTAACATATGCATTAAAAATGGCTTGTAGGTGTTTAATGATGCATAATGCTAAGTAAACATATCTGTAGGTGTGGAGTTTTTTAGCACAGCTGTTACAAATTTAGATTGTTCGCCACCTGTAACCATCTTTCCCTGCTCCTGGGAACTAAGGATACACTGGCAGGGAGGAGTGGAGGAGTAGGGGGATCCGTGTAGTTTGGAGATATAAAAGACATAAACTGGGCTGGAAAGTAATACACGCGCGCGCGCATGCGCGCATGCACCTCTTTGTAAAACATGATTTCACTTCAAATACTCTAGGGAAGAGCTCTTAAGGAAAAAAAAACAAAAACCCGAACAAGCAGAGTTAGCACTAGGTGAATTCAGAAAGACACACATACGCCTATGCCTTGTAAAGAATGTGCCCAGTATTCATTCAACCGGGTCAAATAAACAAGTGCGCCTTCCCTGTAGAGGTGGACACAACACCAATGCCCCAAAGAGGGATGCACAGGCGGAGGAAAACCAGTGACGTCCCCAACACAAGGGGCCCTGTGCTTCTGCGATTCAGGAGGGGCCTTGGCATAATGGATGGACGCACTCTCTAAGTGATTTCTCTCCTAAATTAGTGCAGTATATTAATGCTAATTTTAGATAAATGTACCTTGGGCTCTGGGTGTTTTCCACAATTCTAGGGCTCAATGAAAAAAAAATAGTACCCGAGCAGATATTCCTTCTCTCTCATGGCCACTTGACAGGGCCAGGGCCCCTTGTTTTTTTTTTTTTGTTTGTTTGTTTGTTTTTTTGTTTTTAATAGATATCCCAAATCAGCAATCAAAGAAGAATGGCTGACATTCACAGTGAAGGCATTTGATGAAGCGGGCAAGAGAGGAGCCGTGTAACCCCTGACATCACAGGGCACCTCTCGGAGATAAAAGCTTTCCCTCCCTCCCTCCACGCGCAGTCCCCGTTTCTGTGGTTCCCCTGAAGCCTCTCCCGTGATGAAGCCCCAAAGTGCTGACATGCCCTCAAATACTACAGCATCATTTCAGTAAGAAGCCAAGGAGAAAGACTGGCATGTTCCTGCATTCAGTGATTGAAGGTCAGCAAACACGCCCTTCCCCTGCCCCTTCGCAAAAACCACAATCTATTTCAAATGTGAAGATTCCCCTGTCAGTCACTCCTAAGAAGTCGCCAACTCCAAGGCTGACGACTTGGAGAAGGGACGACAGCGCGCAATCTGACCAATGCCCCAACTCAGCACACCCAGGTGCTAGCAGACCCCAAAGTGATACTTAGAGCATCAGGGTGCTTGCAGTTCGAGGGTCCATTTCTCTGGGGCCTCAACACTACCCTCCTGTCTTTAGCTGTGTCTTGAACAACGCCAACACCTCAGCTCATTCCTCCCTCGCCTTCTGGAAATAACCAGAGGTGAGGTTTCACCAGACGACACAGGGATTCTGAATCAACTCCCTTCTTCAAGTTACCTCGGCTCTTCGCCGGCAGCAAAAACCCAAGTTGCCCGACTCACCGCCCGAACACCCAACTTCTGGAACCGCCCCTCTTACCTCGCCAGCACCAGCTGGCAGCGCGGCGACAGCAGAGCACGCAGCCGCGGGCGCTGCTGCTGTCGTCGCCCCAGCCAAGGAGGCGGTATAGGAGGCTCAGGCTGGTCTGCGGCCCGGGGGCGACCAAAAAGGAGGCCCTCGGCCCTGAACCGCGAACTGGGTCGTCTCTTCTCCCGCAGGGAGTAAGGTCGCGCGCCTGCGGGGAGCCCCGGCGAACCACCAGGCGCCGGGGAAAAGCTCTGCACCCCGCGCCCGGCCAGGGGACGCCTCCAAGCGCACTGCTCCCGCGCTCAGCGAAGCGCCCTGCAGCTGGGGCGGCTGGCAGAGGGGCGTGTTCCCTGAGCCTCCGAGCCCAAACGAGCCCAAACGCCGCTTCTGGGTAGGACAGGGGAAGGGGGCTAACCGAGCGCGCAGTCCCTGACGGTGACTCGGGCCCTCAACCCAAGCCGGCCTGGCGACGCGCTGCAGCCCGCGCGCCCTTGCGGGGACAGCCGCTGAGCTCTTTCTGCGCGGCCGCCTCCGCGCCGGCCTCGGTGCCAAACTTTCCCGCAGAAAGCCGCTTGTGCTTCTCGTGCGGGGGCGCCGCGCTATCTCCTGGGCCCAGAAACTGTTCGCCCCCTCCCCTCCGCAGGCAAGACCCACTGAAAATATGGCGCCCTCGAACATCGTTCCTCGGTCCCCTCAGGGAATCTCGAAATGCCAGTCTCCAGGACCCCTGGCTCCCGGTGGACGCGAAATTTCAGCTCGTGAGGCCAGAGAAGGAGAGCGCGCCGCTAGTCCAGTGCGACACTGCATCCGAATTCAGCGGCACTAAATCCAAATCCTGCTCTCTCTCGGTCAGGCGCTACCCGCGTCCCTCAGCGGCCAGCAGTTTGCTGGTGGCGAAATTGCCAAGTAAGGGGGAGTCGTGGACTAGGCAGGTATGAGAGTCCGGGATTGGGGAAGGGGCTCGGCACCAGCGGGCTGTCTTTGCTCGGAGCCTCGGCCGGAGACTTGTTTGCAAAGTGGCGCTGGAGTCAGGGCGGACAGTGCTGGAATGAAGCCGCTCCCCCCGCGCCAACTCTCCTGGCGCGGGGGCCCGGCCGGGGCCGAGGGGACACTCCAAACAGGCGAGGCCGCTCTTCAAAGCCTAGTTACCGGAAACCCAGCGGGAGCTCCGGAGGGGACCGGCTGCCCACGGTCAGGAATCGGCTCTCGGGCGCCGGCTGTGAGGCTGTTTGCAAACCGCTGCGCCTGGGTCGAGTGCAGTGAAACATACATGTGCAATAGACAGGTGCATTTATTTTATTTTATTTTTATTTTCCTGCAGAAAGCCTTCCTGGAACATCAAATCTGGGAGCTTTGCGCGTTTTTTCTCCTGCATTGGCATCACTCACGCGATGCAAAAGGAAAAAACCACCCACATTTTCCTTCTGTAGGGAGGGAAAAGACACGAGAAATTCATGCAACGTGCATGCAGCTGGAGTAGGAGGAAAACCCGAGTGAGCCGTGCGCCTTACCGGGGGATGCATTTACTGTCTCATTGCAGAGCGCTTGCCCGGGAGTGCAGCCGGCGTCCCCCCCGCGCGCCCGGCGACCGCTCCGCTCCCGCAGCCGCAGCCGCTTCAGACACTGCCGCCGCCGCTGACTCTGGGCGCGGAACAAGAGCCGAGGGCGAGCGCGAGCGCACGGCCCGCGAGCGCAGGGAGGGCAGGAAGCGCGTCATCACTCGGGGACGGCGCGGCCCCGGTGGCTCCAGTCCGGCCGCCGCTCGGCACGGCAGTGAGGCTGGGCCGGTGCCGGCGCCCGCGAACCCCTCCTGGGTCTCCCTCCGGCGGCCGGGTGCTGGGAGGATCCGCCGGGGAGGGCGGCACGCCGGCCTGTAAGCTGCAGGAAGAAGGGGGCGCCGGGTGACCCCGGCTGCCCTGAGTGCGAGCTCTGCTGTGTGAAGGGGTTCGGTTGGGGTGGGGGAGGCGCAGCATCTTTCGGAGTGGGGCCCCTGGGTCTGCAGAGCGCCTCGCCCGCCCTCGGTTCGGCCCGGTGGAGAGCGGGGGGCAGTTCCAGCAGGAAGACCTCGGCGGACCCTGAGGTTCCGCTGCGATTCCGTTGGCGGGAACTTGGAGCAGGACTGTGCACGTGTTGCACACCGCAGACCCTGAAACGCTGCCGGTCAGGCGTCGCTTAGGTTCATTTCGAGAACCTAAGGCTTTACGGGTGGGGGATGTATTCTATTAAACTCATGAGATAAAAAATGCTCTCTCTACCGTGCCCTTGCATAAAGTCATTTATATACTTATTAAATTTACCCCGTCATCAGGAAGTGTCGCAGCACGACATGAAACTATGTGAAGGTGATTAAGCAGAAAAGGAGTCAAATAACAATACACTATGTACCATATGACCCCAGTTTTCAATACTGATGTATGGGGAAAGGCAGAAAAGAGTGAACATGTAAGCACCTGGACGTTAACTAGGTCTCTCCGTGATTGGTGGAATTGTGTGTGATTTTATTTTTCTGCTTAGTTCTAGCTACTGATTTTTCTGTAAGAAACATTATTTTGATAAGTTTTTAAGTAAGAAAAAGCCTGGTTTTCCTCCCCTTATTCCTAGTACAAAATGCCCATAATAGACCCTTCTTCCTAAGAAATAGCAAGTCTCTTCAGTTACTCATAAATGAAACTAGTACAGTTGTATGTGTGTGTGTGTGTTCATCAGAGCATGAAACTGCTGTTGCTATAACTTGGGGAGTTGATTTTGTAAATTGAAACTATCTTGAAGAAGTCCATTGCGGCACTGGATAAGGCTGGACATTCTGTAAGAACAATAGCATGTCTTTGTCCCCACTGGTGAACTTGATTTTATTATGACTGCAGTGATCTGAATAGCCTTAGAATTCCTCTTCTATAACTTATAGTACAGAATAAACTTTATAAATCATAAAGCACAGTCAGAAAATCAATCAATTGGCAACTTGATAAAGTCCTAAAAGTTTCAGGGGATAAGCTTTTTAATTGCACAAGTAAAATGTTTCTGCTCACCACAGGTTTTTAAACATTTTCGACTCTACAGACAAGTACTTGGCCTATCAGGATGATCACTTAGTAAGTTATATAATAGCTAATCACTAGGGTGTACACCTGAAACTAGTATAATATTGTATGTCAACTACAATTGAAAAACAAAAAAATGATTTAAATTTAAAAATAAACATTCACCAGTCTAACAGAATAACTGGTGGTGGTGGCGAGCCACCTCAGGGGATGGTTAGAAAGTAAATGACTATTGATTTCTTTGAGATAATCTCATTAAAGAAATGCCACCTAAATTGTCCCTCTGTTTACTGACAAGGAGCAATGATAGTTCACAGGCCAGGTCCACATCAAAAGAAGCTCATCAAAACAAAAATTGTTCTCAACAAAAATCATCTTTCCCTTCGACATAGTCCTGGCTTCACACAGCTTCCCATCAAGCATCTTCGAATCAGTTCTTTTTCCCCAACCTGGATTTCATGGTTGCCCATCCCTTCACTTACCAGTCTCACAATATCCCCATGATCTTCCACTGCCTGCCACCGAGATGCTGTTGAGTGTTGGAAGGAAAGCTCCAGGAGGGCAAGGGCCACACCTACACTTCCCTGCCTACAGGAAGGCCTGGCACACCGTGGGTGCTCAATGAATATTTATTTAATGAAAATAACATATTTGTTCCTTGTCCACTTGGCTAGTTCCTAAGATACTTGAAAAGTTCTTTCTCCTATTAGACTGTCAGCATAATCCTGGGATGCTAAGAGCTTGTAGGGTATAACATTGGTTTAACCAAATAATTTCACTCTTCAAACTAGGAGCCAAATCCTAAGACATACAGAGCAGCGAGTTGCAGGTCTCTGAATATTGATGAATGACTAATCTAATTAGCAATACTTTTTATTCCTCTGAGATCAGTCATACTGCAAGAAAGAACATTAATCCTAGAACTCTGCTTTAGTCCTGACATCTAACCACCTTTGGACATTTCACTTATTTTTATCATACCTCAGTTTCTGTAACCTCTTGTGACCTCAAAGCCATTTACTATTTCTTTAGAAAAACCCATTCTTAACTATTCTATCCCCTAGCAGTATATTTTTCAACAATTTCCTCAATATGAGTAAAATTGATGTTACCAGTAACCTATATAATAAGTGCTCTGAAATTGAGACTCCTCCCCTAGGCCTGAGAAGACAGTTAGAGTGTTTCTAAATTTAGAACTGGCTATTCATCATCTCTGTATGATGAAGTGACCATAGTTCATTGGGCACCACCAAAAAATCTGACTTCTTTTAACAAGTTCACATTCTTGGGCTTTGTCTCCACCCAGCAGAGGAAAACATGGTGGCAATTTATTTTAGATTATCCAGGACCTGAGGTAAAACTCATTCCATCTAATCAGTTTACCAAGGCTTTATATTGTCCCACTTCCTGCCCAGCAGATCATTAGGACCTGAAAACAATACACACTTTGTGTGAATGAAGAGTGCAGCAGTTGGGGAAGTAAAACAAACAGATAATCTTCTAAGTCACATATGAATACATCTAGAACTAAAGCCCATTTTTTTTTCACAAGGGAGAGCTATAAATACCAAACCAGATGGTGATTGGTGCTAAAGAGTCAGAAGATAAGAAATTGCTCCCCTCCCCACACTGTACTGTTGGCCTTAACCTCCTGGTTCCCTGCGTGCATATGTACACACCTGAGCAAACGCAACTGTATCCATGTGGAAGAGAAAAAGAAATTCCACCAAATATTTGTTCCACTTTTGTTTATAAGATCATACTGTGTTATGTTAGGCTATCTTCAAGTGATTCTTTAACATAAAACACCAACAGTTTAAGACATTCCCTTTTCAAAATTGTATCCATTCCCTGGAGCAAAGTGGATGTGGGAACCACATTTTCTAAAAATTGCCTGTATTCAGAACCAACATGAAAATAAGATAATTGGGCTTCTGTTACCATTCGACATCTTTAGGTTTACAGAAACCTCTGCATGTCTTTCCTAATTACAAGTTCTAGAAGAAAATACTAACTAATAATTATAGAGGGAATATATCTTAGTTTCAGTATAGCATGTAATTAAGTTACTTTCATTTTATTTGAAACACAGATACTTGACATTTTGCAAAGATGAATATATTTTAGTTTTTAGCTATCTCTAAGCATGGGGCCTCGCCTCATTCCTCACTAGTCAGGATGGAGTGATAGATGCAGATTTAAATGTCTTTTTAAGCGGAAATTGCTCACATGAAGTCAGGAAATGATTGCTATTATTGTACCCAGCACAGGACATTCTCAAGATTACCTTTTCTTTTCCTATGGTATATAAAACACACTATGGAAGGTTCTTTAAATGTCATTGAAAAAACATTCAGTCTAGAAGAATATCAATAATTATGTTAAATTGGATTCATATTTAATCCAAATCAAATGGTTAATATAAACAGCATGTGAGGCAGGATGTTTCTCTGTTGGTCATATTTGCTCACTGATTTGAGAAGGGGTTATTATACTGTGGTTAAAAACATTTCTAAAATATTTTTACTGTGGATCATCAAAACTCATTAAATATGTAACTTTTAAGTTTATTTAGTGATTTGCCATTTTCAGAGTGAAGAGATAAACATGTTTTTCTTAAATGTTCTATAATACCAAGATATTATAGGAAGACTTTTGAACCAAGATATTGTTCTATAATACCAAGATATTGTAGAATACTTTAAAAAAAACCTTTTTAAATCTGGGGTTATAGTGAATGCCCTTTTATAACTAAAATATGTTGAATAAGATTGGTTTCTTTGGTTCTAGAGATGTATTTATTTATAGGTGCAAAATAACTCTTTTATAAAACAATTTGTTTAGGCATAGGAGCAACTTTCATCTAAGACTAATATATTTAGCACTGACCGACGTGGCTGAGTTAGTTGGGCTTCATTCCACAAAGAGAAAGGTGGCTGGTTCAATTCTGGCCCAGGCACATGCCTAGGTTGCTGGTTCCGTCCCCAGTTGGGGCACATATAGGAGGCAACCAGCCAGAGTTTCTCTCTCACATCCCCTCTTTCTATACATAAATTAAGTAATTAAATTATATTTATGTCATGTAGGAAATATCATTCTAAACCTCTCTCTAATGGAATAGATTTGCCCTAAATAAATAAGACGATTAGATTATATCTAAATCATCTTTATTACATAGTTAATTATGATGAAATGAAATATAGTAAATGTTAATAGAAATTACATGGATATATTTAATACAACCTCAGAGAGGTCAATAGGGACTTTTGGTCTACATCAAAGACAAAATAAATAAATCCAGCACAATTGTTACTTGCCTGTTACTTTTAGTCAACTTAAAAAATATGTATTGGGTTGGTGGCAGAACTCATTACAAACAAAACACTCTCCTTCCCAGATGTGAAGAATCCACTGAATAAATTACAGCACTTGCCTTTCAGACAGGTTGGAAAGATTAGGGAGGCCATACCAGAAATTTAAATGGATTCTGTTGGTAAGAGGTCTTTAGAGGTCTCCTTTCATCTAGTAATTTCCCTCAGAGTTATAAGCTTCAGAAGTTTAAAAAAACACCTCTCCAAAAAAAAGTTTCTTCCTGTGGTGCTTGTGAAACTAGAAAAGTCAGCATCCAAGCTGCCTGTCACTACCAGAATCAGTAAGTAGAGACAAGGACTGAATCTTTATGGGCACTTGATTCAGTTACTGGCAGTCTGACAAGACAGTGGGTTATGTAACCTCAAAAAAAAGTCCTCACATCTTATCTCAAGCTGACCTTTTTATGAGGAGAAGAAAGAGATAAGGGGTTTGGGAAAAAAGGTTAATCAGATGACAGTTGCAGTCTGGCAGCAATTTTCCTGGTACTTCTTTATCCGTTGATCAACAGCTCTTGATCTGCATTTGCTCCATGCAACACAATGGCTCAGAGACCTCCTCCATCTTTGCAGACTCTCTGGGCACAAAGATTGAATGGTTTGTGCACCTCCTGGAGTCAGATTAAGTCATACATCCCAGTTCCTAGAATAACATTTTTCCAAATGTTTTCTTCACTTAAGCCTATCAACTGAGGCTAAAATCTTTAACTTTTGAGTTCCCTATTTCTCACAGTTTTACATTCTGTTGCCCAAAGCAGCCCAACGCTTGTGTCTTTGGGTGGCCTGGAACCTTTGAGGTCAACTACAACACAGGAGTTCTGATGAAGTGGCTCATACATTATTTGCCTCTCCAATTTGAATACATTTTTACTCCCTGCCAGAACCATCTTTTGGAGCT